ATTTGAAGGTATAATGTGTCACGTGTAGTTACTATGTCAGGGGATCAGCAATGTTAGAATACATTTTATGGTAAGGAACAGATGCAATTTATTTTGAGTAAAATAAAGCGGGGGGGNCCAACACAAAAATTGTAAAAAATCTGAAAGTTTAGGTAGGAAGGTACTGAGTTTATGCAACAAACTCTTATTTTCTAATCTTTATATATTTGCAAACCCATTATTTCAAACTATGAATTCTGTTTAGATTATGAAAATAATCTGTTAAAACAGGTTTAGACCAGCATCAGGTTACTTCATTTATCCTTGTTCAGACCAAAAGTGGAAAGCTGGGATACCGTATTGTTGTGATTCGGACATGCCATATGTGTAAGGCTTACTTATAATACTAAAAAAAGTTTACCCGGTGTGACGTTAAAAACCACCCGCCCGGTTAGTGCACGCTCTCGTGCAAAAATCGAGCAGTGTTTTGCCCATTACTCCTTTTAAAATGAAATCAGAAGCAAGGTAAACGCTAAAACCTATAAGTGAGTTCTTGAGGTAAAAGCCCAGGCCGTAACGATGCTTTACAGTCGATGAGTAAGTTATATATTTGTCTATATTTCTGTGGGCATTATCTCACGCCTGGGCATTATTTAACGCGACACTGGTCCCAGGAGACCTGAGAGAATTGTTATTACTGAAATTAGAATTGGGCGTGGTTTATTTACAAAATATGGAAAATAATTTAAAATAATATTGTTTTATCCTTTCTCAGTAATTAAACACTAACTCCATATTCCAGATAAAGCAAATAATTTCTATATATTAACATTTAAACAATCTATGCATGAAATTTTAAGACCAAATAGACTTTGAAGTGTCGCCATAAGCTTTGGTTTTACCTAACCAACTCAATTAGACTTTTTTGTAGCCCTAGACACGAAAATTTAAATACTGCAACTAATTGATTGTTTTTTCCCCTTCAGTTTGAAGGTAGTTGGGATAATCCTGCTCGTTTTTTGCAATAGACTCGAGGTTTTTTGTCACACACATATGCAAATGGAGCGGGGTGTAGGGGTGGCAAAATAATTAGAATTTTTAAAAATTCCACGGGCAACGCTGGCACTGCACTGGGCCCTTCACCGAAAATCATGAATTAAGACCAAGCGCGGGTAAAAGGCAGAAGTTAGTATGAGTAACCTGGACAACGCCAGCCACTTCTGTTACTTCAAAAATATTGTGCGATAATGATTTATTCCAAATTTTTGAAAAGAAAGAATTTTTTAAAATGTTGTTAGATTTGGTTAAAGCTTGGGTTATTCCTAAGGAATAGGATGAAACTAATTACCAACTACTAATTAGCTAAGTATAGATCTACAGTCTACACACTACATATATCTATTCTTATCTATTCTTATCTTTCATACTTTCTTTGTTTTCTTCTAAACATTGTTTTTCTAAATATAGACGCAATTTTCTCTTAACTAGTCTTATCTAAAATTCAGTCTTATTCAATTAATGCTTGCTGTTTTTACTTAAATTATTGCTTTATTCTAATTCATTTTTAATTATTTTTTATTCATTCTGTCTTATTCTTTTTAATTAAATAACTCACTCTTATTTATTTTTAAGTTTATTGTTATTCAGACTTACTAATTCTCAATTATTCTTACTTATTCTTATTCTTTCTTACATATTCTTACTCATTTTTATTCATTCTTACATATTCTTATTTATTCTTACATATTCTTATTCATTCTTACATATTCTTATTCATTCTTACATATTCTTATTCATTCTTACATATTCTTATTCATTCTTACATATTCTTATTCATTCTTACATATTCTTATTCATTCTTACATATTCTTATTCATTCTTGCTTATTCTTATATATTCATTCATTCTTACCTATTCTTATTCATTCTTACATATTCTTATTCATTATTTTACTTATTCTTATTCATTCTTACATATTCTTACTCATTCATACTTATTCTTATCCATTCTTACATATTCTTATTCATTCCTGTTTATTCTTATTCATTCTTACTTATTCTTATTCATTCTTGCTTATTCTTATTCATTCTTACATATTCTTATTCATTCTCACTTATTCTTATTCATTCTTACATATTCTTATTATTAATTCTTACATATTCTTATTAATTCTTACATACTCTTATTCATTCTTACATACTCTTATTCATTCTTACATATTCTTATTGATTCTTACATACTCTTATTCATTCTTACTTACTCTTAATTATTCGGATTTATTCCTTCTTATGAATAAATTAGGAAAATAATAGGAATTGATATTAATTGCCATAAAACTCAGATTCTGATGCATAAAACTGGGTTGATTTTACACTGGGTAGTCTAGACCATGTTTATACGCGTGAATGCATATTTAGTACAATTACATAATAGATCGGTAGATCTTTGTGCCGGTTCGGATCATGCAACGATTAGAGCCTTGTGTACAGGGTGTCCGAAAAAACATGGGAATTCAGTGACGAATACGATATCGTCTTTGTTATGAATTAGCATTGTAATACCTTATTTCAAAAGCCATTATATAATTATGTCTGCTAGAGTTTATTTTATGAAAAGGGTAAAAGACTGTGAATACGTGTCTATAATGTCTCCGCAAGATGAACAGTGAAGACAGACAAGTTTACTCTGTTTGTATACTGCAATTTTCTTGTTTTACCAAGTACAACCGTATGCAGTCAAAACATAAACAAACAAAATGTTAACATAGCAGACGAAACTCTTACAGATTTTAGCTTTCTCAGTAGGTATCACTATACTAAATCAAAGAATTATTTGAAAAGACGATATCGAATTCGTCACTGAATTCCCATGTTTATTGGGACACCCTGTATTACTTATAAAGTCTTATACTCATCCTTTTCCATTTCAAGGTATCATTCTTCTTAATGATCTCATCCATATTCTGATCCGTTTAAATCTTTCTCCAATTTTGTTTTCTGATTTAGATTGTATTACTTGGTCAGGTTGGATAACTGCTTGCTTCACTGAGTTTACAGAATAAACTAAATATGTCCAACATCCGGAACATACAATACAAGAAGAAGGATGGGGATAAAACAAACTTTCCCCTTTCAGTCCATACTGAGTATCAAACTAAACATAACAGTTACAAGACGACTTAAAGATCGTGTTTAATATTTTATGGTTCCTTAAAAAAAATTTATATCAATTGTCATAAAACTCAGATTCATAAGCGAATTTTTGTTATAAAAAAGATCCTTTTAAACATTAAACAATCGTATCGTTTTATAAAAGTTAAAAACGAGTGGTTTGTTTGCTGTGACCCATCGTTTTAAAAACGGTTAACAATCATGCAGATAGCTTTAAAAACGGTTAGTAATCATACAGATAGCTATACAAACGGTTAGCAATCATGCAGATAGCTATAAAAACGGTTAATAATTATACAGATTGCTATAAAAACGGCTAACAATCAGGCAGATAGCTTTAAAAACGGTTAACAATCATACAGATAGCTATAAAAACGGTTAACAATTATACAGATAGCTATAAAAACGGCTAACAATCAGGCAGATAGCTATAAAAACGGTTAACAATTATACAATCCCATTTTTCTATTCTGCATGGCCTTTTTTCTCTAAATCTTGTGCTTTCCTCCCTCTACCCCCCCTCTCTCTGCTCTCCGCAAATATGTTTACTCTCATAATTATATTTACACAATATATTCGACCCTTCTAATCTTTTGCAGTGTTATGTTATAAATATTTTTAAATATTATCATAATAATCAAAAATAGGATTTATTTAGTGATCATACAATGAGCAATGCAAGTATCATCAAAATGAGAGGTACTTTAAAAGATCTTACAGTGGAGCCCACTCAACTTTAGAATAGGAAGACGACTTAAAATTGTAAATGGTCCAATGAACATCCTGCATCGTAGCAGTGTACACACAGATCCATTTCAGTTAAAGGTTGCTATTACAAAAAAAAAATTTTAAACAACAATATCAAATAAGATGGCGTAAATGTCGTCTTTTCTTTCTTTAATGGGTCAAATTTTGTGATTCAGGACAATACTTTATTTTTATTTTATAATTTCTGTAAATAATTGCAGCAGAGTTGGGCGGCTTTGTTTTATTTTAGAAATAACAATTGTAAGATATTAACATTCTTCAGAAACATATATTTAGAGCAGTAAACCAGATGTTGCACTGGTATTATAAAGAGGAGTTTGTATTGACAAACAAACAAACAAAAGCTGGTTAAATAAAAATAACACAACTAACATAGTTTGGACAATAATTATATTTATTCAATGACCACAATTTTAAAAATGATATTTGGACTGGCTAAAAGCCTTTAATTATTATGAATTAAGTCAAATTAAAGTATTAAGCAACTGAGTTTTATTTAGCTTAAACTTTGCCTCCCCCCACCCCCACTCCTTTAGCTTTGCAAGACGTTTGATATTTTAAAAAGGACATCTCACAAAGGTTCATATCCCTTTATTTTGGAATATATGTTAAGCAATTACAAAATCATTTCGGTGAATTTGATATTATTTACCAAATGTTGTTAGGGTTTCCTCTCACGCAAATCTGCCCCTTTAGTAAAAGTAAATTCTGCCTATATTGAGCATAAAGTCTGACCGCGTCAACCTTGTTGCACCGGCTAGTCCAGTCCATAGAGCTGGTACAGTAGAAACTGGGACTGGAAAGGTTGACCCGGCTCGAAAATTCAAATGTACTACGGCTGCCCGTGCTCTAAAATTGTCGCTATCTATCGACCTCCAATCTATATATCTAATCTATGTTTCTATTTTCAATTCTAATAATGATTCAGCAAAATGCATTTTTACATTTCTATAAATAAGTTTACAATCACATCCTGCCTCGGCGAAAATAAACCAGCGATGAAATTATATTTGTTGAATTCTATTCTATTCTATTGAATTATAAAAATTATAATATATAAACAAACTAATTTCACAATAAAATATACTTTAGAATATTCCAAATGAGAAAAGGAAAATTTAAAATTATGACCCCAGGGAACAAACTAGGGTTTGCAGCGAAAAGGGAACATCGTTCCGAGAAAATTTTTCGCGAAAAAAAATGTTTGCGAAAATTTTCGCCTTTCGTTTGCTAGCGAAAAATGCTAAATTTTTGCGAAAAAATTCCAAATTAAAAAAATGCGAAAATTCATCAAAAAGACTAAATACCTATGGTTTTCGCGGAACTGTTTTTTCGTGAAAATTTTGCTTCTTTTTCGTATTTTACGCTCCATTCATTTTCGCGAAAAAATGCGGAATTTCACGAAAAAATGCGAAATTTCGCATGAATATTTTTTGCATTTTCTCACGAAACGTTTAGTTTGCTTCAAACCCTAGACCAAATGAAATGAATTGGAAAGGGTTGCTGAACTACCTACCCCCGGTACATATCCTGAACCACTGAATCTTTAACTGTGAGTTAGTAATTCTGGATTTGATATGGCGATATGTAGTGACCTAGCTCATATTGATCAAATTCAATCCCAGATTTATCAAATATAATAAACTTAATTTTTAACACAGTAATTCCCGGCTAATCTATAGAAAAGTGATAAAACTTTGCATAAGGCGGGTGATAAATAAGATAATTCCCCTTATATATATAATCATTTTTCTTTTAACACAGATGATGATTAAATCTATTATTAATTTTAGGCTGTAACAAAATATCATCTAAATGAAGATTGGATAAAGATCACTTTCCATCTGAAATTTTAAGTTGAATTTCAAAAGCCTCATGATGTTTAAGGTAAAAAAGTTTGTCTTCATATTCGCTATGGATAAAGTTATCCATATCTTTTGAAACTCAAAAGGGGATAAGGGGAGTGGTCAAAACCTAGCAAGGATAGCTAAGATCGAGGAACCAAGCACTTATCTCTCCAATTCAAAAGTTGTCAGAGTGTATGTCGAGATCAAGAGTTGCAGTATCGCGCTATTTCACTCGAAAGTATCAACTTCTGGACATTATTCAAAATGTTTCATCAATTTCATCCAAAATTCTCTCTAGCTCCTCTAGTACTGTGGATGTAGAATCTGCCAATGAACTACTTGATGTAAAAGAACTATCTGCAGAACTGGAACCTGGATCCCTAACAGAAGCTGAACTAGTATCTGAAGATTCAGATGAAAGTTTAGATGAGGAGAAACTAGTATCAGACGACTCAATAGAAGTATTAGCCGATGCAGATGATTCAGATGGCAGAGATGTTGGTGGGGGAGTGGCTGAAGAAGAAGATGACGAAAATTTTAAATCAACTGAAGACGACATTGAGGATATTGATTGGTTATTGTCGGTCCATTCCTCCTGAGTTGTTGTTGGATTAATTTCTTCACTTGAGTTTACAGGAGCTACTGAACCAGTTGCATTCTAAATACAAACAAAATGAATTATATTATTACAGATGTTTTCCCTTGGCCTGTCCTAGCCTAATTATATCCAAAAATATTGGCTGCCAAGACATTTAAACAGATAGCTCATTGGTCAGAAGTGAACAAAATCAAATAATGATTAGGGGGGAAGGGGGGGTCGTTGAATACAATTTTCTCTGGAATTGCAACCATTAATTCTAAATATAGTATTGCGGTATTAAAATTATGACAATATCTTGACAAATCAAATCAAATGAATATCTAGACAAATCGAATCAAATCGAATTGAATCGAATCAAATCAAATCAAATCAAATCAAATCAAATCAAATCAAATTAAATCAAATTAAATCAAATTAATCAAATCAAATCAAATCAAATCAAATCAAATCAAATCAAATCAAATCAAATCAAATCAAATCAAATCAAATCAAATCAAATCAAATCAAATCAGGCTGCTAGGGAGTCCTACTTTCCACCCTCCAAACTCGAAATGAATTTATTAGTTCAAGAATAAAATGAGGTCTTATAGCTTGCACAATGACTAATGTTATCGTTTAAGAACAATGTTAATTTTTACAACAAAAAAAATAAAAAGAATGTATTCTAATGTCAAAATTTGGAAAAGAAAATTAAAAGTAATTTTTCCCCTTTTAGTAATTTTTATAGATAATAAATCTATTCTTAGGCGATTTTTATTTTTATTTTTTTTACTTGAAAAGTTAATTTATTTAGTTTAAACCACTACACACTTGTGTCTGTATGAATGCCTGAAATTGCTTGAAAGACAAGTGCACTTACTTATATTACAACTGTTTCGTTAATTATACAAGGTAAATTTTTAAATCAAGGTTTGTAAATTTCACAGCAGCACGATAAAATATCAACATGAGCTTTCCAAAATGTGGTCTAAGTTGACAAAATCTGGCACGATTCTACCTTCAATTAATAAATAAAAATCTATACAAATATCTTAAAAGTATCAAATTACACCTATCTCTCGATTAAAAGTGTTCAATATTAATTAATAAACCCAGGGCTTTAAACTAGCCCCTGTTGAGACTCTATGTGCTCATGTAATATACGTACTCTATGTACTACCTGGGTACTAACCGTAAACTAGCCCCTGTTGGTGCTCATGTAATATACGTACTCGATGTACTACCTGGGTACTAACCGTAAAGTCTACGATGTAGGATGCGATCCCTAGCACTGTAAAACAAACCAGTACAGTACATAGTACACATAAACCCCTTCAACATATATTTAAATAACAATTATAATTTGATTTGGCCAAATTTATTCTTTCTGTATACAAGTTGTTCAGACAGAACAAAATGTGTTTTCTTTGAATTTATAATTTTTGTTAAAATTTTCGATACATAACATTAAATGGAAAGATTTATTGAACAAAAATGTATTCTACAAGAGGCTCAACTAAAGGAATTGAGTCTTTGCCACAAACTCTGATTTTCTAATCACTATATCTTTGGAACCAAATGTTGTAGACCTTAGATATTTCAAACTAAGAATTCTGTTAGATCAAATAATCTGAGTTTGAAATATCAAAGGTTTACAACATCGGGTTCTAAAGATATTGAGGTTTAAATATTTGATTTTGTTCCAAAGACCCAATTCCTTTGTAATATCCTAAAAAAGAAAGTTTTGAGGTTCTCAAGGTGTAAGGTTATCATGCACTGAACATAAGTTAAAATTCAAAAACGAACACAGAAGATATTTCGGTTTAATTTGAGATTGATTTAAAATTGTTTTTTAAATTATATTTCCTGATAACTCCACCATTCTTGCAGACACCTGATAGTATAGCGTTGGATTAGAAATATTTAAGTAATATTTTTACAATCAGGACAATTCATAGTTTAGTTCTTCCAGTACAAATTCACAACAAAAATTGTATCTTGGGTGTGATATCAAGAAAATGAAAATAAATTTTGATTAAATTCTTTTGGAATAAGAATAAAATTGATATATGCACTTTGCAGCTAGAGATGGGCATCATTTGAGGTCATTATTTACACATTTAGAGTTTTTTTTGCTTAGAATCTGAAAGAATTAAGAAAACTGTTTCTCTCACTCCTCTCACCAATGATATTGACCAAAACAATTTTTGAAGACAATTACCAAACAATTTCTTTTATCGGAGGGAAAAATAATATTGGTTAATATCTGTTGGTCAGGGTAAAAATATAGCACTGCTCACTTCAGTTTAAGCATCATGAGCGGGGGAAAACAGGCGGCCATAAGACACAACATTTTCACTTTCCATGCCAAACATTATCTCTTTGCCTTCCGGCAGCCATAAGCCACAACCGTTTAATCTTCCATGCCACAAAATGAGAGTTCCGGCAAATATTACGTTTTTAAATGGCACATTTCATGTTTTGAAGTTCAAAAATCCCGCCACGTCATGCAAAATATATACAGGGTGAGTCAAAAATAGTGTGATTTACGGCGCCTGATACAAAAGTGTACCTTTTTCTGTGCAACTCTTCTGTATGGTGTTTTTTAAATATTTTTTGAAAATTGTAAATTTTTTTTGGTACTCTAATGGTCCAAAGAAAATCCGCGAACTCTTTTTTCTCTCAAAAGCAAAAGTTTTGAAAAGCAAAAATGTGTATATTATTTATTTCTATCAAAATCTAAAATTTTATAAAGATTGAATCACAGAATCACAGAAAATTGGCAAAATTGTAACAAAGAAAATTCGCAATTTTCAGTTTTGGTCTAATTTTTAAGGAAAAGTTTGAATTCTCTAGTTCCTTTCTTCTTAGTTTATTCAAAAGTTCAAAAATATACGCTGTTCAGTTGAAACTTGAAGAACCATTGAAAAACAACTTTTCCTTTAAATTAGAACAGAACTGAAAATTGCGAATTTTCTTCGTTACAATTTTGCCAATTTTCTGTGATTCTGTGATTAAATCTGTATAAAATTTTAGATTTCGTTAGAAATAATTTATATACACATAACATTATAGATTTCGATAGAAATAATTTATATACACATAAAATTATAGATTTCGATAGAAATAATTTATATACACATAAAATTATAGATTTCGATAGAAATAATTTATATACACATAAAATTATAGATTTCGATAGAAATAATTTATATACAGATAAAATTATAGATTTCGATAGAAATAATATATATACACATAAAATTATAGATTTCGATAGAAATAATTTATATACACATTTCGATAGAAATAATTTATATACACATAAAATTTTAGATTTCGATAGAAATAATTTATATGCACATTTTTGCTTTTCTAAACTTTTGATTTTGAGAAAAAAAAAGTTCGCGGATTTTTTTTTGGCAATTGGAGTACCAAAAAAAAATAAAAAAAATTTCCAAAAATATTGAAAAATTTCCATACAGAAGAGTTGCACGAAAAAAGGTACACTTTTGTACCAGGCGCCGTAAATCACACTTTTTTGACTCACCCTGTATATAAAGATCTTTATAATCAAGCAAACCAAACAATGATGTAAAATCGATCTTCTTTGAAATTGAAAAGCAGTTTATCATCTGAACACCTAATTCATTAATCTGTAATAAACTTTAAAAAATTTCTTAAAGGAAACATCTTTCGCGGAATGCTGCTGATTAAAAATCGCAATTTCAATGCACTAAAATGGAAGACCGAACAGTTGCGGCTGCCGGAAGACAAACAAGCTAATATGTGGCATAGAAGGAAATAATGTTCTGGTTTATAGCCATCTGCATTCCCCCACTCGCAGCACACTATTCACCAGTTTTTCTTTTCATCTGAGGTCTTGATGTTCTTCTGTTTAGTTCTCCCATAAATAGTTTTCCATAATCATCATCATCACTGCTAGACTCTATCTCAGCCAGGTTCACTCGTTCATACTTTATCTAGACATCGTCCATCGTCCATCATTAATCGTCAGAGTCGTTGTGATTGTCATCATTATCATAATCATGGGAGTGCTTAGTTTTTGTAAGAGACTTCCTCAAATTCTTTGTGAGGAAGGATAAAAGAAACTGATCTAAGAGGGTAGGAAGGCAAGCCACAACAATTTCTCTTCTGAGCCATATTCTCCTGATTCTTTCGCTCGAGCCACCTGGAAATACTTGTCCTTCCAAAATATCTTCTGGGGTTTTAATGTCTTAAACTAATGTAAATCCATCATTTATGTTCTTAAAACATTTTACGTGCATTTTCAGATATTCCTTGTATGTCATTCTCATTGATTAAAAGAAACTTTAATCAAGCCAGTCAGATTTAAAAAAAATATTTTTATATTTAAGGATTGGACGCCTTTTAAAACAAAAGAAAAACGAGGATTTCGGGGTGGCTCGGACGAGAATTTGTTCTGACTGGCTTTCCTGCCCTCGATCAAAGGTCGATTATGGTTCCTTCCCCCGGAGGCCATTACTTCTATCATTACATTGGTCGACCATATGACGTCTCTTAATTTTGGTCGTAAGAATTGTCTATCTATCCTTCAAAGTACGACAAAAGATTATACATTTTTAGAGAGAACGGGCTCTGAACACGTCTTTGCACTCATTAGGGGACTTTTATTACTATTTCAGATATTAATACGTTTGATAATCAGGAAAAAACTTACCCTACCCCCAGACATTTTCCAGCACTTTTTTATAGTAATCAGTCTACAAAAAACTATTAAAGATTGATGGTTTGGTTTCTGTTGGAATTACATTATCTCGAGCAAGTTTTTATGATCAACTTCATTTTCTGGAATACTAAAATTGATTTTAGCTTGATCTGTAATAAAGAGTTTTCTAATATGTCTCGAGAAAACCCACAACTTTTTAATAAACTCGGTTTAAAAGATTATCGGTCTAGGAAGGCAGCAAATTTAATTGTATCAGCAAATTTAACATAAAATTTATGAAAAATAATAACTCGTAATGTTAGTACATAGAGCTAAGCCACAGGATTAGATGGGGTTCTGTCTCGAATATAGGAGTTTTATGGTTTAAAAGCTTGAAAACCCAGCTTTGGCTGGAAACCAAGTTTATCCTTAAAAATAAACCTACACAATTTAGAATAAAAGCCAAGCTGAATACATTATCATAGTTCTACCGACTTATTCAGTCAAAGTTAAAATCAAATCGGTCAAATGGTTATAAGTTATGATCGGGCATCCAAACAAACGAAATGAGATTATTTTAAATACATATTTTAAATAATTTAGCAAAGAAAGAAACAAGATTATATCTGCAGGAAACCATTAATGTCAGAGATTGAAATGAAAACCGAATTCTAATTCTATAGATATGTGACTAAAGTTCCACGTAATTATCTTAAATCAACTATATATTATATGTACTAACTTGAAGACTGTTTACCTACTGCAGGGTAACTTGGATCAATACATTTCTGTAGAAAGCATATGAAAAGGTTCACATGTGTGCAGGATGTTCAAAAAAATGTTAACATTCCAATAAAAAAGATTCTCAACATTTTACATAGCAGTGCTTGGGTCAGAAGAATAGTACGCCCCCCCCCCCCTCCACAAAAAGTTGAAACATGAATAAAGCAATGTGCTCTAAATTCTTCTTCTACATTTTTTTCTTAGTCAAGAAGTTTTGTAGAAATTGTTTTGAAATCGAGCGTTAGTGTAAAACATATTCAAGGGACCCTAAATTAATAAGTCAACAAAATCATATCAGTACACACTACACATCATTAGGACACCTGCAGTATTAACCAGCATAATACATATAATGACATATAATAACCACTTCCGCAATTTACTTCTCTTTGTTAAATTACAAATCTAAGGTAAACATTTTGAGCACAGAACAGATTCAAAATTTATTTTGCTTTTTGAAAATACTACAGTTAAATCCAACTCATACTACCGAGGTGCGTCTTAACATGAAACAAGTTGTTTAACACCTTTAACAATTGAAAACTTCGGTTCCCTCGACTATTGTAACACTCATTAATTTGCGCATAGAACTGATATACTTTTTTACTTGATTTTTATCTAGATAATTCAAATGCAAGTATATATGAAATGGCAATGAATTGTCCAACAGATCCTTGATCCATCACAATCCCTTCCAGATCATTCTCAATCCGTCAAAGGCTACCATTGTGAATCTGACATTGCCTTCTTTTAAGGAAGATCACTTGAAATGTAGCTTTATGCCTAAAATGTACGGGATTACACACAAAGGATGAGAATGTAATGATGACCAGAAACTGGTTCCGTTGAACAATTTGAATCTGAATTTTTCAGTATATGTCACAATTGCGTATGAACTATATGATTGGGCAAAAAAGAGAACAAGTTAAGTTGCAGGGAACCAATGTTTTTAGAAAAAAGGCTGAATAAATTCCGTACAGTTGTCTCTGAAATCTCATGCTTTGTGGATAATACTATATTGTGAATTCTGTACATTTTTAAGGTAATAGCTTATCTACCAACGGTTTACAGAATAAATTTATTTATTCACATTGTTCACTATTGAAATTTTACATTAAAGATTGTTTAAATCAAGAAACATTAAATAGGCAATACATTTTAAAAACATGTCAAGATGCTGTTCAATCAAGTTTTATTTAACATTAGGTACAAGTTTGAATAAACAAAATTAAAAACATTGAAGATATTGGTCAGTGATTTTCTAAAAATTAAAGATAAAACCATATTTTAACCTTTTCAGGTATGTATCATGATGTTGATTTAGAACTATCTAGATCTTGTTGTTAGAAGTAGAACGCCTGAATTCACTAAACTCTGCTTCAGGTCAGGCTTGAACAGTCTCCTAGGCAACAATGTAAGCTTTAGTTAACAAATCATAAAGAGATTAAACAATAATGAATCGAATAAAATTATCAGAATCAGGGACAGTCAACAAAGAAAGAAAAAAAGAAAGAGAAAGGATGACAAGAAGAAGAATCAAATCAGAACTTTACTCTATCAAATGTATCCAATTTTTAAGATTAAAAATTCAAAAATAATAAATTGTTAAAAAGAAATAGGAAGGAAATTTAGGGGAGAAAATATAATGGAATCTTGCTTCTAATCCCATTCCAATTCCCAATCTTGATTCTAACCAAAACGTAGTACCCAATAACCAGAATATAATCCCAGCATATAGATCCCATACCGAATTCAAATCCCAGTCCAGATTCCAATCCTGCTGTTTACTCTAAACTGAACTAAATCCCAAAAATGATTCTAACCCTTTACCAAACTATATCCTAATCCTGAAAACTGTAATACCAAACAAGATTCCAATTCTGATTCTAACTATTATACCAAACGATATCCCAATTATGATTCTAAACCTTTTTACCAAACTAGATCCCAATTCTGATTCTAACTATTATACCAAACGATATCCCAATTTTGATTCTAAACCTTTTTACCAAACTAGATCCTAATCCTGATTCTTATCCTTTAACCAAACTAGAGTCCGATCTCCATCTAGATCCAAAACTCACCTCTACTCCAATTCCTAGATCAGACATTCTTGTTTGTAGAGATACTAAAATATTTGAATATTGATAGGATTTAAATATTTCAACAACCATCAAAACAAAACTAAAATTAAGATAATTTGAAAAAAACAACAACATTATCCCACTCCTCCCTCCCACTAATTTTTGATACATTTACAATAAATTAGAAGAATTAAATTTGAGAAATCCGGAAAATAATATCAATAACAATTAAATGAAAAAAAATAAAAAGATAACAACTTTCACCTGTTCAGTGCAGTTTTATCCGACAATGTTCTCTGCAGTGATTTCACTGGACCCTAGGCTGGCATATAAATTGAAACTCTGAAATATACAGTATACACATTTATCGCGTGGCCTCTCAAAAAAACACTGGTTTTAAAAGGCTGGATCTTAAGGTTTTGAGAAGAGTTCCAAATATTATCAGTTTTACTTTTATTAAAATTCTATAACCCCACCTCACAAACAGTGAAAGCTTGGGAGTTGTGTTAGGTTCAATTAGTTAAGGTGTAAATATTAAAACTATAACATAGTGTCAATTCAATTCAATGCAATATGTGTACAAATAGATAAAATGACAAAGTCATCAAGTAACCACTGGCATAGACTATGGATAAAATAATTATTTAATCTAAATCCAATTGACACAAGTGCCCTGTCTGTAAACGCAGTGAGCGTGCATTGTACAATCAGAGCTACCGACTAGATTAAAATGTGAACAATTTGAGACAAAGGGATTGACGAAAATATATTTTAAGCGAGAATTAAAATCAATCTATTAAAAAGTCTAGATAAATGACCCGTAGAAAATCTTGTATTATCCTCAAAATGAGGCAGTTCTAGTCTTCTTAAAATGGAAGAACAAGAGCAGTCTTGGGATTGTTGCTGGAGGTATACAATCTGCAATAAACGAATACTGAATAAGAGAAGTGTATTTTCTAAGTCTGCTAAAAGTACGGTAACAAATGCTTTTGAATTTTCTCCCGTAAATTCGTCATCAACAAAACTATAATTTTTTATATATAAATTTTTGCTTGACAACATCCAATAAAAAATATACATTCTATTCTTTTCTTTTCATCTATGTGCACTATGCACATTACACAATACACACCCTTCTTTACTTTGACCATGTGAAAAATCTGTCGTTAAAATTGGGCTCATTATAAATTTAAACTAGCACGGATCCGGATCCAAGGGGCAAAAAATATCAACCAAAAAATGTTAAAAAAAACTATTTTGCCTTAAAATCCAAAGCTTGGACTGTTAAAAAATTAGATCATTAGAAACTTCCTTATCTCTGAATAGTTCATTAAGTTTTAACATAAAAATAAAAATAAAAACAGAAAAAGAAGAAAATTTTTCGTTTGTTCAGAAAATCCTTAAAGAAATGTTCTGACCTGGATCCGGATCCATATTTGTTCAGTGTTGATCCAGGATCCGGGTGGTCCGGATCAAAAAATAAATGGATCCTAAGATTTGGGAGGGGGGTTGGGAAGGGGGTTCAAATTGTATTACCTCCGTGAGCTTATCTGGAAGAGAACTAAAATAACAAGGTTGATGACAAACCCTGCAGCAGATAGGACAATCAGGATCGAGAGTCCTGAGTTGCCACAAAACCTGACCATAGACCAGCTCTAAATTACATTGTATTAAGTTCTTGACGCATAAAGTGAAGCCATCAATCTTGATAACTTTATCAAAATTTATTCTCAAGGAATAAATTTTGTGACGAATTTAAAGGGAGAGACCGGCTAGACATGAAAGTTGAACTGAGTTTGCAGAATTGTAGAGAAATTTTGCAGGATTCATTTGAGACTTATGAGATTTTAGTACGGTTTTAGCGCAATTTCAATCTTAATGTCAATATCGACGATAAAAAATGTTGCAATAATTTTAGGAACATATTTTTCGAAATATTTATGTGTAGAAATCAATGGTAAAATATTTCTTTATCATCATTATATTATGAAGTCCTTTTACTGCACTTCTGATATCAATGAATTTGAAGTCCTTTGACTGATCAGTGATCAATGATCTGAATATTACGTCTAATGACCGATCAATGATCTGAATATTACATTTAATGACCGATCAATGTTCTGACCTGTCTGAGGATAGTGTAGAAGTGGAGTAGAGACGACCATAGAAGGATCCTTGAATATATATTTAAGCTTAAACTTGAACTCCTGCATATGATCAAAAATGGCCAAAAGGGAATTGAGGGTATTTTGTGTTAGATAGATTAGATCCTAAATCCGGAAAAATTACCCCGGGCCACTGATCCCGAGTGAATCCAAATGGAAAAACTTCAACTAAAAAAATCAAAAACCATTTTGCTCTTGAAACGTATAAATTTAATATTATTATAACCTTCCCAATCATTTCATTGAAATTTGTTTTTACCAAACAATTATGGATTTTTTCTAAAATAGGAAGACATGTATTCTCAAGTTGTGACTATTTCAATGAACATTAGAAATAGAAATTGTACAGTGTAAATAGACCCTTTTCACTTACATATTGTTTTGCTAAGTTACGAGCAAAAATATTTGCTTTGTAATAACATCAAAACGCTTAAGTATTGCTATACTGTCGTCTTTCTATTCCATTGTTTTCTGGTTATCACTTCAGAATTGGGGGGGGGGAGATTCAATTATAAAAAAGTCCGAAATTCCTCAAGTTTAATGAACTGTACCTAAACAAGTTGCTTTGTGTATGAGATCCGCAGCAGATGGTATTGAGAAGGAGTTTGGTGGCCGCTAGTCCCCAGATAGTTGCCTGTACAGTGTACGTAGTGATGGGAAATAACATAAGTTACTTTTTTAAGGACTTAATTTAAAAAGGTTCCATTTTTGTTTCTACAATTTTTAAAATTGTTCGTTTTCAATATTTACTGATCTTAAACTTTGTCCATTGTGCAATTTTGACCCTGGATAAAATAAATGCAAAACCATACGACCCTAAAAAATTTGGTTTTTTGGATGATAATTCTTTTATATTTTCTTGAAGGATAAAAATACAGCAAAGTTTAAAAAACCAAACTTTTAATGCTGGAATAAATATTAAAAGTTGTTTGAAAATAAACCAAATTGATCAACAATCCTACCTGAACTACCATCAAACTAGTAGAACTATAACTTTGGCTCAAAATAAACTCTTCACAATCTAAAAACACTAGTTTCAATTCCCAAAAAATATTCTAAGTTAAGAGTAGGGGCGGGGCCCCGGGGGGAGGGGAATGGGGGAACCTAAAATTCTTTGATGGTTATAGAAAAATCAGTATTGATGGCGGCTTATTTAGGGATATCCCTACTCACAATTGAAGGGGCTTCCCGTACCCATCAAATTTGAGGTAACACCCCCACCCACCCCACCCCGGCCCCACCCCAAAAAATGGTAAGCCTTAGCTTTGGGGAAATAACAGTTTAAGCTCCTTATCCTTAGGTTTTTCAGAAAACACAAATTTGACGGTTTTAATTTTTAAAAAATTACTACTCCCCCCACCCCCTCCCCCCAGTACAGGAAAAATATATGCAATCTTTGTCATAATTTTGATGCCTAAGCTGGGAACTTTTATGATGAATACCCATCTCTTGATCTCAATATCCCCAGTGGGCACTTGAATTTTTAATTCCGATATCAACAATTCAATAATTATCAGCTCAGGTATAATTAACAATTTTTACCTGTACAGGAGCTATTAAAGTTAAGACTGTAGAACTCCATGGGGAGGTTGAACCCTAGGTTTATGGGGAGAGCCACATGTTCATGTTTTAGATCAAGGTCTTCCTTCCTGAAAACATTTGTTGACTAAAGGTAACTGGTGAGTGTAATGTACCGTTGTGAATCGGACATTCCACTCTATACTTGGAGGGTCGTCCATTTAGTTAATAGTTCAGGCGCGCAACTAGACATTTGGTTATGGGGGGCTAGGGGGAAATTTTTGGCCCCCCCCTAAACATTTTTAGGGGGGGGGGGGCAAGAAAAATGTGTGTTATACTTAAACAATAAAAAACTAACCTTACCAACCGGATATTCAGTAAGTCAACACATCCGATATGAAATTAAACAAGAAATCTATTCTGGTCAGGGGCGGATACAGGGGGGCGGGGGGACATTCGCCCCCTCTGACAGATTCAGGGAGGGGCGTAGCCCCCCCTGAATTTGGAATTTTTTGTTCCTATTTTCATAATATCTTCTCAATAGCATGCTTAATTGGGAAAGAAACCCTAGTGCAAAACAGGAAAAATATCTGTCTTAATAAACTATAATGTGAAAGACTTCTTAAGGGAGGGGCATGCCCCCCCTTAATCAGGCTAGGGGGGGGCCTGGCCCCCTGGCCCCCGCCCTAGTTGCGCGCCTGGCAACGTTCATGTAAAAGTGCACTATGGACTTAAGCCATGATTCCTCCCTGTAACCACTTGATCCACTGTGCAGAGTTGATCAGACAATAATGTGCACAAAGTAAACATTAACCCCAAAATCTCCATCTCGATTGATGATTAACTCGGAATTATATATCTCTTTCGGGCTACATCGACAGGGCAGTCCGCGTCAATGATGAATCTGTATCTACCCGATCTGTGGATCAACCATGCCGTACACGGAAAACATTGGAATGAAAGTCGTCTTGTTTCTTCATTATATTAAACGGCTATGGATTTCGTTCGTTCCTTTGTAGCCCTAAAATCTTTTTAAATGTACTTCAGTTAAACAAATAACAGCAAACTTGGCGACATTTCTTAATAAAACAAAGGAAGACGACTAGTATTTCACTATTTCTTCTACCCAATACTTACACGTAGAATGTAACTCCGTTCATTGTAGGATAGGATTCATTGTTGTAGGTTACACTGGGTAGGTAGGCAGGGTCTGCACGCAGAAGAATCACACCAACTAGAATAAGACAAGAAAAATTATTTTAATACCCCAGACAGTAACTTTTTTTGGAGAAGAAGGGACTTATTACTTTATAAAGTATCCATCACTTTAGAGACTTTTGACGAAATTTTCAGTGATCCTCCATTTTTAACGTGGCATGTCCGATTCACAACGGTACCGTTAAAGCTTGGTCCGATAAGATTATTTGCAATTGTGGTTTCTCTAAACCCTGCAAGAGTAGTGCAAACCCCGGAAATCGGCACTGGTTTATAGAAGACGACATTCATATTGTTTCTTAATCTTAACAATTGTAGTAGACTATTTGCAATTGTGGTTTCTCTACACCCTGCAAGAGTAGTGCAAACCCCGGAAATCAGCACTGGTTTATAGAAGACGACATTCATATTATTTCTTAATCTTTATAATTGTACTAGACATTTATTCTACCTAAAAATGATAAAGTGTAATTTAGACGATGTGTAACTGTAAACCATATTTCATAATTGTTCCTTGTTGAAAATCTGCACTTTAGATATGTACACAAGTTATTTATTTGGTGGTTAGTCACTTGAACTGTCATGTCATCGGAACTATCGATATTTTTACTTTTATTCATATTGACATGTTTTGATTGAGTTTTGCTTTCTAGTTTTTTGTTATATTTTAAGATTATAATGTTTTACTATTTGCATTTTAATTGTTGTCATAATTTTATGCAAATAAATAGTTATTTATGTGATCTACTTTATACTGTTGGTGGCCCAAGTGATATAATCTAATTACTACATTTGGAAGCAAACATCTTAGAAACAACAACAACTGTCGAAATATTCAATAGCTCAAACAACAGTAGGTCGGACATTTCAGCATCTAATTTTAAAAATTCTAGCAGCATAGATTAAATGTCGTCGTGCTTATACCAGTACCGAATAGGGTTTGCAAAACTCTTGCATGGAGTATAAAAGTACCTGCTACAGAAACAATTAATGTATTGTCAGAATTAAACACTTTCACGCTAGAAAAATTACGACATCGCCCACATTATTTAGCACATCAAGGTTTCAAGGATACCACTGTGAATCGGGTATGTCCCTCTTTTAAATGGAGGGTCCCTTGAAATTACGTCTATCAATCTTTTAATACCTTGAATGTAAATTGAGAACGCTAGAACTGTTAGGCCGAGAAGAATTAGGTAAACTCGTGAACAAAATCTCAGGAACTTGGAGCATATCACCTAAATTCAAATTCATTCTGTCATTTTCTGAGATATGAAAAAATCAGGCTCTCTTTGTACTTGTGTTAGCTAGCACATGTCTTTCTCTTTAATACATATAACTTTCTAAGAGATAATAAATACCTCTAAGAAATATTAGATACCATTTAAATAATGATCTCCTGAAAAATTAAAATTGTTTTATCTCAGGAAACTTACTTGAGGAGCAGCTGTTTTCTTGAACATGTTGGATATTTTTCCAGGTTTACTCTTCCTACCGTCATACCCTGACTCCTGAAACAAACAGATAAAAATTAAAGACGCTCACAGGTTAAACATTACTGGTGTTCTTTTTTTCCCTCCTGAAATATTTTTTTTTGCAGTATCATGACCCTTCAAGAAAATGCGTACCCCTGTCATTAAAATTTCCAACTGTAAAATATTTGCTTGAAGTCATTTGAATGTCGTCTTCGGGCGGTCATAAAACTTGCGTTTAAAACCTGTGCAGCTACAGATACGTAGAAAGCCGAAGCTGTGGCTACGGCTAGAACGAAGATAGGGAGGACCGGATCATTGTTTTCAGACATTTCCTTGAACTTGTTGGATATTTTTCCAGATTTATTCTCAGTCTTTTTCTCTTTATCTGACGTACACTCCTGAAACAAATAGATTATAATGCAAAAACTGAACAGGTATGACAATCGACATTTGTGTTAACTGATCAATATAAAGGTCGTCTTTTACTTAAAACTACGCAAGTAAAACAAGACCTTCTTGTTTTGTATTTTTCCGATTTACAGCTGTCAGAATTATTAGTGAGTCATAAACTTACGTTTAAAACCTGGAACGAGATGTAGAAACCTATTACTGTCGCTACGGCTAGAACTAGGATGGCGAGGATCGGATGCATGCCCAGAATGTTCACATTAAGCTTGTATTTGATAGTGTAAAACACAGCCTAAAAGAATAAAAAATAATTGAAAACTCATTGAGACTGAATTTTCACACGTACACAATAAACATAACGGGTCTATAATTAGCACAAGTACGCCATTTTGCCGATAGACAAAGAAAAAAGGGTTGCTGACATCCTAAACATTCATTCTTATTAATTTTCTTAAACCTGCTGAAGGAGTCCTAGAGAATATGCAGAGTCCAAGAACAACCAGCCACACACCAGACTTAAAAGGGCTGTTTGCATACATTTCTTTAAGCGTACTGAGTCACATAACCTACAAACCAAACCAATTTTTCCTTTAGTATTTAAATTTCTTTGATGTATACATTAGATTTAGTTCTCAATGTGAATTATAACCAACATTTGGTCAAGGAAATATATAAAATGATCAGATTGGAAACGTATGGATAAACTTACAATCTGCAGGTGAAGAGCTTGAAACGGGCAGCATTATATCCAGAGATGGTCATTAGCAGCTGAAACAATAAGTACCTCAAATCTGCACCCATTGCTTTCCTTTAAAATATTATATTTTCTTTATTGTTTCCAGTCCACTAGTATTCAGCAATTAAATTATATATTACAATTCAAATTATGAATATGCAAATTTGACCTGCACTATGATTATATTTAAGGGTAAAAACTTAGGGTAATGATGCATCTTTTATACTTGACATCCCCTCTATTCACTTCTGACCTACTAACTTTCCGATCTTTCTGCAATATCCGACCAATATGCGCCACAACTGTTTATTTTACATAAATTTAAAAAATTTCTGGGCCGAGCGATGCGGCAAGGACAGGCTAGAGCGCCGACCGCCGCTGCTAGGACAGGCAAGGGGGCCGGACATTGCGGCCGCATGTCCAACTAGCAGCTGTATTTAAAACCACATGCAAGTATGTCAAAAGTAAACTGCGGATGTGGCTTTCGTCAGACATGGAGTATAGCTAATGTGAGTAGGTCGAAATATACACCAAGGAATATAATTAAGGATTAAGGGGGTTGAAGCATACTCTAGGAAATAACTTACGAGATATAATCCGGAATATTTCTGATAGCATACACGTCCTCGAAGTAGAGGTATCCCACCAGGTTTCCGCTAAATCCAAACCCAAGAGTTGATCTTCACAAATATTAATATTATTAAGTTTTAATGAATTGGTTGATGATCTTTCTGATATTGTTTAGATAAAGGGTCGATCATTTTTTATGAATGGTAGATATATATCTACCAAATCAAAATAATTTACATAAATGATTGATGATCTATTTGATATGATTCAGGTAAACATAAATTATCTACCGAATCTAGTTAGATGAATGGTTGATAATCTACCTGATCTGGTTTGTCTGAGAGTAGAGGATGATATGGTTGATAAGAGAAGAGTATGAATTGAGGAAGATGGTGTAGTAACCAAGCAATATATACACTATCATTAAACCACACAACCAGGGATACTTGTCATACTAGAGTAGTATATAAACCATCATTAACCTGGTTAACCAGGGATACTTGTCTATCTAGAGTAGTATATACACCATCATTAAACCACATAACAAGGGATACTTGTCAAACTAGAGTAGTATATAAATCATCATTAAACCAAACAACCAGGGATACTTGTCATACTAAAGTAGTATATAAACCATCATTAACCACACAACCAGGGATACTTGTCAAACTAGAGTAGTATACAAATCATCATTAAACCACACAACCAGGGATACTTGTCATACTAGAGTAGTATATACACCATCATTAACCACACAACCAGGGATACTTGTCAAACTAGAGTAGTATATACACCATCCTTAACCTGGTTAACCAGGGATACTTGTCATACTAGAGTAGTATATAAATCATCATTAAACCACACAACCAGGGATACTTGTCATACTAGAGTAGTATATACACCATCATTAAACCACACAACCAGGGATACTTGTCATACTAGCAGTGTTTCGGATCCATATCATTTTGATTCGGATCCGGATCCGGATCCGGATCCGCGGATCCGCATCCGTGATGATGGATCCGGATCCGAGGTAACTTTTGATTCTGTGAATCGGATTTTCCCTATTAAATGTTATGCAAGGTTATAATTTATAAAATGTCGTCATTAATTTACTATTATATAAATGTAAACATTAAATTATTAAAAATAATTTTGAAAAATTTTCGTCATGTAAAATGTAAATGATTCATTTACGAACCATTTTGATTTATTTATTCCATGGTTTTGGTTAATTTTTGGCGCTACCCGGATCCATATCAACGTTTCCTGATACGGATCCGGATCCGACCAAATGATACGGATCCGACCAAATGATACGGATCCGACCGGATCCGGATCCGAAACACTGCATACTAGAGTAGTATATACACCATCATTAACCTGGTTAACCAGGGATACTTGTCTAACTAGAGCATCATTAACCCGGTGTCGCGCATCAGTTTATCTCCCTTATGGTTTACCATTTCAACACATGCAATGTTAAGGTATCAGAAGTATTGTAATTACACTTGCCGAATGTCTAGATGGAGGGAACTCCCGGACGCCATGAGCGTCCGCTATGCAGACACGAGCCTCCCAGAGTTACTAGGCAGACCAAGCCTCCACTTTGCAGAAATGAGCATGCACAACATATCAAAATGTGCCTGTGTAATACAGGAGGTTTTTTTTAACTTGTGTTTTAAGTTTAAATAAAAGATTTTTTTGAAATTTTTAGACATAGTGCCTAATTATGACATTTTTTACACGAAATTAGGAAAATATTTAGAAAAAAAATTTGAATTGAATTTCATTTCATCTTTTATAATCTTTGATTTCAGCGATACCTTTTTTTTTGAAGTTCAAATTAAATCTTAAAAATTTGTATTTATTATTTAAATCTTAACATTTTTCAAAAAAGGTATTGTTTAAATCAAAGATTACAAAAACAAACCAAGTTTACTCCAGAAATATTTCTCCAAATATCTTCCTTTCTGCGTAAGAAATGTTTAAGGTTTTAATATAAATCTTATAAACCACTTTGAGTCCATATATGTTTCCAATCATGACAATCAATGAACAACTCTTAATCTTTAGTAAAATTCTTATGCCACTTCGTCAAAAAAAGTTGTTAAAAGTTTTCATCACTCAAAAAACCCAAGATTTAAAAAAAGCTGTATGGTGGAGGCTCGTTTACTGCATAGCGCAGGCACGGTCTGCATAGCGCAGGCTTTGTCTGCATAGTAAATCTGAGAGGCTCGATGTCTGCATAGCAGAGGCTCATGGCGTCCGGGGATTTCCTCCCTAATGTCTATGATAATTAGTGAATTGATTTAAACCTCATCTGTATCTCGAGTATTTACAATTTGTTGGAAACTATAAAAGAATAGTGATATTTGTAACGAAAAAACAATTTTTGGTGTTTTTCCTATTCACAATAAATTTTATAGCAAAATATACCTTTAATTATGTATTTTTTTTTTCTACTGGTTTACCATGGCTTTTGATGTTGAAATGGTCGTAGCAATATGATTGACTGAAGGATTTTACCTGGAATGAGAAGAATTTTAACTTGTGTTCAGTCTCCTTTTCAACCACCATGTCCTTCTGGGAACCCCGAAGCCGCAAAATAGCGCCAACCATTATACAAACGAAATAGTTCGTTGATGCTATCTGAAATAATTTCAGATTCCTACGTTGCCTTGCTTGAAAATTACCCAAACTTGTTCCAAATTAGTTTATAAAATACCGAATTTAAATTAAAGCAAGAAACGTGTTTAAAAAATATAATAAAAATAGCGGTCTCAAACGAGTTTTATAATAGAAGTGAGAGGAAAATTCTTAAAAACAAGTGAAAATCTAATTTTAGAAAAGTATACCAATTTGGGTAATATTAGAAGGGGGTTGAATATCCGAATTAAATTCAATTTAAAGATTTGCTGTACATTTAGATTCACCAAAAAAGGCATTTTTTGCTAACTTAATAAGTGGAAGCCTATTAGTACCCTACCCATGATTTTATGGTTTAAAAGATTTATTTTCAGTTATATTAGTTGTTTTTCGATTATTTAACATTAAAATCCATTAAAAGCAGCCAATTTGGATTTTTGTAAAAGTACATTTATCAAAATGTCTTAAAATTCCAAGTGGAATACAAATTTGCTTCTGTAAAATGATTTCAGAAAATGTTCCACTCTTGATGGTCATGCATTAAATGCTCTAATCCATATTGTATTAACAAAAAAATAAATTATATATATATATATGAAGATAATTAATTCAGAGGTACATCATTTTTCGTGTCCCAGTGTACTGTCTCTGGGCGGTAAAGTGAACACATGACAGATGTCTCAACCTGACGTGGGATCCATTTTCACATAACAATATCAGCAATTAACTTTCCTGTACTTTGGTATTCATAAGATTTGAACGTTTTGACTTATAGTCTTTCAACCCTTGATCATGGAGATCATGGTGTTATGAAAACAGCTTCATAAGGTAGTGTATTTTTCGACCTACACATATCCGCCATACTCAACTTCTGACCTACACCAAATCCGCTATACTACACATCCAACCTACTAGCACGTGGTATTACAGTTGCTATATGGACTTGTGGCCGCAGCGCCCGGCCCAGATATTGTCTTAACCTAACCCACAAATAATACTAAAATAAACAGCTGGCGTAGGTCCGATAATGCAGTAGGTCGGAAAGTTAGTAGGTCAGAAGTTCGGTAGGGGGGATGTTGCGTATAGACGATGTAACATAACCCTTCAAACTCAAATTTCAACTCTTAAATTACTAGTGTAATTGCCTGGCAGCAAAGTAGTAAATGGGACGGTAATTATCTGCATACCATGCGTTTAAAAGTGACATGCCTAATTCACAATGTTTTATAAATTGAATCATTTAAAAAGCACGCACAGGTTTGAAGTTTAATAACTATTTCCAAGATAAGGTTAGCCAACCAAACCGTTGTATAATTATTTACTCCTGCCAAATTATAAAATCTCTGTTGTAATGTTCAGTTGTAATGTTCATTTAACATGTAGAAAATGGGCTCAACAAAATTAATTATTTTCGAGGATGTGCTTCAGTTAAGATTTCAATGATTTCCCTTGACGATATTAATAAGTTGGATGTGTATTAGAAGGGTGGGTTCACACTATTTATTTACTTGAAGCATACATATACTATAAAAATAATACGGTGCAACAAAAACAACAATTTGAAATTTGATCGAAAAAATAAATCTAACGAATTCGACTACAACAAAATTAACGCTTCCTACAATCTCGAGAAATGTGGCCGGACTCTCCACACTTAAAACATCCACTGCCACGCCCTCTACCACCACCTCCGCCAAAACCACCACCACCTCCACCGCCGCCCCTTCCTCCTCCTCCGCCGCCTTGAGGACAATCTCGCGCATAGTGACCATCTTCTCCACAACTTGAAAAAAGAAAGAAAAAAATGACGAATTTTCCTTGAGCTCGATTTGTTTGCGATAAAAAATGTTTTGTAAAAGCACAATGATTTTATCATTTCTAAATTTACGTTTTTTCGAATTTGAATGGAGAAATTTTTATTTGTAAATAAATGATAATCTCTAGAATTGTTAAGCCATTTAGACATAAAAACTTACTTTCTGCATCCACTTCCGCCACCACCTCCTCCTCCTCCCCTACCTCCCCCTCTGGATCTTCCACCAAACTGTGCATCATCCTGGTCCCTCTTAGCCTTCCACACTGTAAACCTGAAGAGAGCTTTATTGGCTTAAAATCTTATTACTGTTTGTATGGAGAGTTTACCTAATATCATTTTTATTTTATCATCTCAGTCCATATCATAAAAATAAACATCTCAGTCCATATCATCAAAATTAAGCGACATTCTGGTTGTTCAGTGTAATATGTAGGGTACCCTTGATGATGTATATTACAAAGATTGAAATGCAAACATAATAAATTCTGATCAGAAACAGTCTTTAATGATGTAATTCAATTTGTACACGATACTCTCGCTGTCGTCGCTGATTGCGAGCAGCTTTATGTTATAACGCTGAAAATGACGTTTTCACTTTTCTAGGTTCTACTCCACTTGTTCTGGTTTACAACTAATAAGTAACTTGGTTATATGTTGAAACGATTCCAACGTCGTTTTTAATTTTCAAATTTTTAGTTCACATGCACTGAGTTTAATTTCTAATAAATTCTTGCTTAGCTAACCACCCAGGTACAGGTTGACCAGGGATCTATCATGATTTAGTGTTTACCTGACAGCTTCCTTAGCTAACCACTCAGGTACAGGTTGACCAGCATCCTCCAACATAGTTACAAGCTCAGGGGCTTTTCTCCAATCCTCCCTAAAGAAAGTGTCCAAAAAAATGTTTTTGTGTCATCTAAAATCCATATTTTACAGATTTTTAAACACGAATTATTTCCCCCTCCGCTTTCCATAAAAAACCTTGTACTAAATTTTGACAACCCCCCTCCCGCCATTTAAATTTCTATGCAACTTACCTAGTAAAAAGGGATATGCTGGTTCCAGTTTTCCCTGCTCTCCCTGTTCTTCCAATTCTACACAATTATAACTGTAAAATTTCAGGGAATTGGTCTTTTCCTGAATTTGATTCTCAATAAGAACATTATTTAAATTGAGTTTACATCTCAGTTAATTTGACAAAATTTGAGCAATGCTACCATTTTTATGCAACCACCATTTGTGTATTATAAATGTCATGGGATATCGTGCTGAAGGACAAAAATTAATGAGCAACGACTTTTCCTTTCTCAATACAGGAATTGAGACCAGTGAGATAGGGTAAAGTCGACTTATCAATCATTTGTGACTACAGGGTGGCCAAAACTTTTTTGAACAAATCCGTACAAAAATCCGTACATTTTCAGAAGAAATCCGTACAATTTTCGAAAAAAATCCGTACAATCCGTACAATTTTTTTTTAAAAAATCCGGACATTTTTTTAAACCAATCCGTACATTTTTTCAAAAATCCGTACATTTTTTTAAAAATCTGTACAATCAGTACAATTTTTTAAAAAATCCCATTTTTGAAAAAAAACATTAAAATTCAATTTTTCTTTCATTGTCCTTTGTGTTCAGTTCATGTAAGAGGGTTTAAACTATAGAGAATAGAATATATGGAGAGGAATTAAAAGAATCTCACGGTATGAATTTTTTCAGTCCCTTTCAGTCTGAAAGGGAGTTCAAAGTGTACAAATCATGTAAATGTTCACAAATTATATGCAGTAGAGTACATTAATACAGTATGTTCCCTAGACTATTCATTTCAATTTCGAATTTTTTAAA